TTTTTCTTGTAGGTTTGATTCAAAAACTTAGAGTGGCAAAAGCACTGTGGTACTTTCGTGACAATTACATGAGTATACTAAGTTGCAATGTTCTGTGCTTTTTTTTTTCTTTTACAGAGGAGATGTTCTCAGTCCAGGTAGTACTAAATGACTTCAAGTTCTGCTCCCAGTTACGCGTGGTTCTTACGCGCGGGCCAGTGAAAATTTTTAGCGAGTAAGTTGCTAGCTCGGGAATTAGTAAAGCTAGAAAGCTAACATTTTAAGAGGGTGTTTCCCGACAGTCCTGACTGCCAATCTCAATTCTTTTAGCTAGAAGCATCTGCAGAAAAAACAACGCTCTTAGCGACAAATAACTGCGGTGAAGTGTGCAAAAAACGCGTTTTCGCACCGACAGTCGATACGCTGGCCATTTATTTTAGTTTGTTTCTAGTTTCTGTTTTGTTATTTTCTCAGTTACCCGCATTTTATCTAGCTAGCAAGTTAAAATTTTCCGATTTTTGTCGATTTCTCGTTGATATCCGCAACACTTCTGTCGACAAATTTTTTGACATATCTACTCGCTGAGCCAGGCGGTGTGGTGCTGCGGATCACTTAACTGTAGCACAAGTTCGAACTATTTCTTTAGAAGTTACTCAGATCTCAACCAAGCCTGGACATTGTGGTTCTATGCTGACGTTAAAAACGGCCTACAGTGAAACCTCAAGTTTACCCTCAAAACATAGATGAGGAAGGCGTGGAATTTCCTTTTGTTTGCTTGGTCTTTTTTTTTTTAAATTGCGGAATGGGAATTTGGAATACCGTTTGCTGATAATGTCAACCCTCATCAGCATTTACGGTTCTGTTTGTGTTTACAGCTAAAGAATGAAGTACAGATTGCCTTTGATTTGCTTATTGGTATATGCAGCACTTAGATCCAATGTTTATGTTTTTACAGTATTTTTTAATACTATTTATACACATTTTTTCAATTTACTTTTGGGAGAACGAAAACAGCCCCCCTCCCTTCCTAATGAAGCGAAACGGGTTCTCCAACTACGCAGCTAGCAAATGATCGAGTTGCAAGCTACATAGTTTGGAGAACCAGTAGTAAAAACTTCTGTCCTTTGTGACGGTGATGCACTAGTAGATCTGAGCCGAACAAAGGGTACCAAGTTCATCTGGGTGGTTTGGAGACTTTAATTTTCCACCTCATTAAGGTGGAAAATTAAAATTTTAAAATTAGCATCATAGGCCATATATGCCTTGACGTCAGGGCTTTATTGTCGATGTAAGTTCCCAGATCGCTGCTAACTGGAATTATGTAGCACAGCTATGTCTAGTGTTTGGAAGCATCCGAGGAGCACCACCTGCAGAGGAAACCTGCGCCAGTTATCCACGGGATTTTGGTCTAGTTGCTGTCATTGTTCAAATTTCTCACTTCAGTGAGGGCGATTTGCAACGTGTCGGAATGACAGCGCTGGTAGCACAGTCGTATATTACCTTTATGATAAAGCAGCTCCATGGGAGGCCTATCCACGATACCGATGACTGGCAAATAGACACACCTTTTTATGATGAGTGCTGGCCTGAAGCTAAAGCAGGTATTACTTATTTTTCCTTCTTTATTTTGTGGATTTTTTCGGCTAAAATTCCGATTTAGGAAGTCG